ATTCAACTCCCTACTTGTGACCTGGATAAAGAGGTAGAGGATGGCCCAGAGCCTTGGGACCCTGCATCCATGTGAGAGACCAGGAGGTGGCTCCTGGCTCATGGCTTTAGATCTCTTTCTTTTTTTTTTTTTTCTTTCTTTCTTCTTTTTTTTAAAAATTTGTTTTATTTTTATTGCAAAGTTATATATATAGAGAGGAGGAGACACAGTGAGGAAGATCTTCCATCTGATGATTCACTTCTCAAGTGACTGCAACGGACAGAGCTGAGCTGATCTGAAGCCAGGAGCTCAGGGCATCTTCTGGGTCTCCCATGTGGGTACAGCGTCCTAAGACTTTGGGCCATCCTCAATTGCTTTCTGAGGCCACAAGCAGGGAGCTGGATGGGAAGTGGGGCTGCTGGGATCAGAACCAGTGTCCATACGGGATCCTGGTGCGTGCAAGGTGAGGACTTTATCTGCTGAGCTACTGTGCTGGGCTCTTGGTGTTTCTGTTTTTTTTTTTTTTTAAAGATCTTTTTCTGTGTCTCCTCCTTCTCTATAAATTTGCCTTTCTAATCAAAATAAACACATGTTAAAAAAGAAGGAAAGGAAGGGAAGGAAGAAAAGGAAAGAACAGTGGAACAGGCTAGACAACTCTGGCTGAGCTTTGGCAGCAAGCGTCTGGGTGAATGGGTGCAGTTGAGTGAACTCTGTCAGTCAATGGACCTTGAGAGGATTTTCTCAACCTTGGAGCAACAAAACCAACAGTGTCTCGGAACTATGAAAAACTACTCAAGCGATATCTTTGAAATATTCTTCTCTATACTGGGGCCCTTGCCAGAGCTTTTTGAAAAAATATTTATTTGGGCTCAGCACAGTGGCCTAGCGGCTAAAGTCCTTGTCCTGAATGAACCGGGATCTCATATGGGCACCAGTTCTAATTCCGGCAGCTCCACTTCCCATCCAGCTCCCTGCTTGTGGCCTGGGAAAGCAGTCGAGGACAGCCCAAAACCTTGGGACCCTGCACCCGCATGGGAGACCTGGGGGAGCTTCTAGGCTCCTGGCTTTGGATTGGCACAGCACCGGCCATTGCGCCATTGCGGTCACTTGGGGAGTGAATCATCAGAGGGAAGATCTTCCTCTGTCTCTCCTCCTCTATATATATCTGACTTTCCAATAAAAATAAATAAATCTTTAAAAAAATAACCAAAAAACCATTTATGTATTTAGCTTGAAAATCAGAATTACAGAGAGAGTGGCTGAGAGACAGAGAAGTCTTCCATCCACTAGTTCACTACCCAAATGGCCACAATGGCCAGAGTAGAGTGGATTGGAAACTGTGACCAAGGAGTTTCTTCTGGGTCTCCTACATAGTGGCAGGTGCCTAAGGCTATCCTTTCCTGCTTTCCTTTGGTGCTTTCCCAGGCCATTAGCACAGTGCTTGACTGCAAGGAAAGCATCTTGGACATGAACCAGAGCCCATATGGAATGCTGACACCACAGACAGAGGATTAGTGCACTATACCTCTATACCAGCCAGACTTACATTGACAATTGTGTATCCATGTAACCTATCTGTAACTTTGTTGTAAAGATACAGAATGCTACAATTTTAACGGATAGTTCCTGTGCCTGGCACGATAGCTCAGGACTAAATCCTCACTTTATTTTTATTTTTTTATTTTTATTGCAAAGTCAGATATACAGAGAGGAGGAGAGACAGAGAGGAAGATCTTCCCTCTGATGATTCATTCCCCAAGTGATTGCAATGAAGTGACTGCCATAGTCAGAGCTGTGCTGATCCGAAGCCAGGAGTCAGGAGCTTTTTCAGGTCTCCCGTGGGGTTGGAGGGTCCCAAGGCTATGGGCTGCCCTCCACTGCCCTCCCAGGCCACAAGCAGGGAGCTGGATGGGAAGTGGAGCTGCTGGGATTAGCACCAGCACCCATATGGGATCCTGGTGCATTCAAAGCAAGGACTTTAGGGTACTGTGCTGACAATCTTTAAGAACTATGCCCCCATTCATTCAAATACTTATTGAGTTTCTACTATAAATTAGGTATTATACTAAGTTCTCAATGAGACATAGCTAAACAAGTGAAGGAACAATAGTATGAACAAGAACAGGAAATAATAAAAATTGTTAAAATGAATACATTTTTTAAAAAGGCTATTTTGCCAGGAAATGTCATTGGAACTTAGTGTTGATGGAATGGTCTGGGAAGGTCTCTGTGACTATGGCCGTTTAAATAAAAAATTGTGACAAGAGAAGCAGATGAGGTGTCAGTGGGTGTGAACATTCGCATGCAGCTGTGTTTTATCCTGAGTCAGTATGGAGGTGGGGCAAATGAGCACTCTGCAAGAAGTGAAAAAAATCATCACCGCTGGGTATTGTGAACAGGTCAAAAGTGGCATGATGCTATTAGTGTTAAGTCTTTAAAGACTCAACCTTATTTAAATGAAGGTAGAGGTTTGTACAGAGTTGGGGCACTGCACACAGATTAACAGTTGAATTCTAGGCTCAGCACTGGGCTTGTTCTTTGACCTTGCTAATGCAAGGGGTGAGTCTGATGGACTGAGCCCAGGTCTCATGCCTGCACAGTAACTGAAAGGGGATGTTAAATAAAAATATTAATGTCAGTTCTTTAACACAGAACAAATAAGGATAGCTCAAGCTCTTCCTCTCTTATATTACTGTCCTAGCAGGCAGAGATAAGAACCTGGCAGTTTTCTGTTCTCATTCCACCATTTTCTGAAATACTAATTTTGTCTTTCACGGTGAAAGTGGGCTTACCATCATCACTACATCCAACCAGCTCTCTCACCTGGGTGGTAGGGGCTCAAGTACTTGGGTCATCTGCTGCTGCTTTTTCCAGACCATTATCAGGGAGCTGGATTGGAGGTCATGTAGCTGAGATTTGAACCTCAGCACGTGCTGAATGCTGGCATTAAAGGTTTTACCTAGTATGCCACAACACTGGACCCAACAGTTGTTTGCTTTTTTAAGATGTGTTTATCCAAAAGGAATTTTTCTGGGTCTCCCACATGCGAGCAGGAGTCTAAGTGCTTGGCCATCTTTGGTTGCTTTCTTGGGTACAGAAGCAGTGAGCTGGATTGAAAGTGCAGCAGCCAGGACATGAATTAGCACCTATATGGGATGCTGATGCTATAGGTGGTGGCTTAACTCCCTGTGCCTCATTGCTGGTAACTGGTCATATTTGATGAGAGAATTAGCTCCTGGTTCTTTGACACTTTGTATTACATGTTATTTAGCTCAGTAAATAACACAATCTATGTATCAGCTCAGTGCTACTACTGGCATGAGAGAATTACACTCACAGTACTGGTAGACCGTACAATGCAGGTATTATCCTATACTTAACAGAGTTAAAAATATGAATTAAGGCAGTTCTTATACTTGTATGATGCTTGTTGTTTAGAAGCTTATAATTTATTTGAAAGGCAAAGTTAGAGAGAGAGAGATGAAGAGAAAGAGAGATCATTCATCTGCCAGTTCACTCCCCAAGTGAATGTAAATGCCAGGACGGGACCGGGTTGAACCCAGGAGCCAGAAGCTTCTTCAAGGTCTCCCACATGGGTGGCAGGGGCCAAGCCGCTGGTTCATCCTCTGCTGCTTTTCCAGGTACATTGGCAGGGAGCAGGCTTGGAAGTGGAACATCATATGGGATGCTGACCTCTCCTGGAAGGTTCTTAACCCAACACTAGTCCCTGCACAAATGCTGTGAAGATTTTTCAAACTACTTTTATAGAACTTACGCCTATCGCTCCACAAAGCCTTATCACCTTCCTTGCATCAGTAGTAAACGCAATTGGAGTAAAACTACCTCGCAGAAGGAGTCAGACTCCTCCAGGGCGGGCGCTCTCCACTGCACTCGGCCACCTGCTGACGATTCCAGCAAGTCTCCAAAGTTTGTCTCTCTAGTGTCAGAGTTCTGCCCAGAGCATACGCACTAATATTACCTTGTAGCCTTGATATCACAGCATTACTAATTACACAGGTAAAATGAGCCTGTCAATTTACAGCTGTAGCAGCACAGCTGTAGTCAGTTGGCCATACTTAGTTTCATCAATACCAGGGCAACATGATATGAACTTTCTGATATAATGTGATACAGTACAAAGCAAACAACATCCATTGACAATTTTTTTTTTGTTGAACTTGAATCCAATTGAACCTCTAGATTCCAGTATCTAGATTAGCCTTCAGTTATAGGAAATACACCAAAGGGACAAATACAAGATTCTTATCTTGGACTTTGTTGAGTTTAAGTCAGAAAAACAAAATGTATAACCCACAAAACAATTACAATAGGCACTCTTAAACTGATTTATTTTTTGCTACTCTAGTTTTCTTTCATTTCTTCCTTCCTTCTTTTTAATTTTTTCATCTATTCATTAAAAGGCACATCTTCCATCCATTGGTTCACTCTTCAGATGGCCAGAACAGCCAGAGCGGGGCCAGCAAGAGCCGTCATTTGGGTCATCCTCTGCTTCCTTCCCAGGTGTACTGGTAGGGAGCTGGAGGGGAAGCTGAGCAGCAGCAGCACCAAACTGGTGGTCAGAACTGCATGTGGGGTGGCAGGCGGAGACTTTACTTGCTAGGCCACAGTGCAGCCCTCGCTGGTGTAATTTTCTCAAGAGTGAAATGATACTGTGGTTTAATAGATTTTTTTTTTTTTGGTTGTAATTCTGAGGAAATGCAAGTTAAAGTAGTTACTACACGTTGTGATGTAAACTGTCAGCTATGCCCTCAACTCTCAAATATGACACCCATAGAGTGAACAGGCAGGTGCAGCGGTCCACAGGTGTTCCCAAGACTACTTTTTCAACTTTTCCCATGTGTTACAACCATCCTAATAAACGAAGCAGAGACACACCGCCTTTGTCGGACACAGCCGCAACCGCCCAGGCGCACGGCGACCCGCGCTCTCCCACCGCCTCCCCGGGGGCGTGCGGTCTGGGCATGCTCAGAGGCCGCGCGCGCCCGCCCCGCCCCTCGGGCGTACGTGAGCGCGCAGGGCGCAGGCGCGCGAGTCCTGGCAGCCCGCGAGACGCCAGCTGCGGGACGCTGCCGTGCTCTGAGGTGCGTGTGGCCCTGACGCGATGGAGCAGCTCAAGATAGAAAAGTTCGCCACCGCCGACCGAGGCAACGGGCTGCGCGCCGTGGCCCCGCTACGCCCCGGAGAGCTGCTGTTCCGCTCGGACCCCTTGGCGTACACGGTGTGCAAGGGGAGTCGTGGCGTCGTTTGCGATCGCTGCCTGCTGGGGTACGTACGGAGAGCGCTCCCCGTCCACCTGAATCCTGGGCCGTGCGGGGTCAGGGGTGCCGGGGGCCTCGGCCTGGCGGGGGCTGCCCCGGCCTCACACGCCCCTCGACGCGCGCGTGTTCCCGGGAGGAGGAGGCGGGTCGCCCCTGACAGGCCCGGCGCCCAAGTCCCCAGGGCCGCTGCGAGGTGGGGACGGAGGGTGTGCCCAGGCCCAAACCCTGCCTCCCTGCAGCGTGGACCCACGACCCACCCCGCCCTGCGCTCCCACCGAGCTGGGATGAGAATCCGGGGAGCCCCTGAGGGAGCATTGGTTCCTAGGCAGAAAGTCTGCGTCCTGTGTGACAAGCGTCATTTGGGGTGGTGGTGCAAATTAACAGTGCCCCTGGGGGTGTGAAGGAGCTGTCAGTCTCACTGCTGAGGCTGCGTTGGGAAAGGAGGGGGGCACTTGCAGGAGTCGGAAGAATTCCCGGGGTGTGGGATGCTCCTCTGTGACTCAGGGGATCTGTGTGGCCTAGGGAACGTGAGCATGAACTGCACATCCTAACGACGCAGCAGATAAGCGCAAGAGGGAATGATTACATTCTATCAGAAAGGTAGCAGTTGAGGTGTGAGGAAAGTGCTGTGGCAGCCGAAGTTCCTGGGGTTCCACAGTGTGCTTTGCCCTGTACTGGATGTGCACAGAAGTCGAACTCTTAACCACGTGTCTGCATGCAGTTCACGGGAAGTTGTTTTGGGAGCTTGGCAGTGCAGGGCCGACGTAGCTGTAGCAAAGCGGTGTGGGGGAGTATGGGGATGGAGTACAGTTAAGCAGCGTTGTTGAGCTTCTGTGTGCAGTGGAGAAGATGTTTTGAGATGCGTGGGATGTTGGCTTTATTTTAGGCCTCTCAGACTGGGCAAGGATTGGGGAGGTTAAGGTCCCTAATTGAGGGCATTGGTATAATTTGAATTTTATAGCTCACAAAGAATAGTTGTAATTGCTGCTTTCTGAAGGAATGCTAACACCACAAGTCCAATTGGGAAGGAGCGTTTGAGATTCTGTTAACTGTATGGATGAGAACAATTCATTCCTTTGAAGACTTTCCTGAGGCCTTGCCATTTAAATTCATAGGTCTCTTACTCTCAGCCCATTGAGAAGGTTGGCATATGTATCCTGTTACATGCTTTGGAGTATATAAAGAATTTGAATATAGCCCTCTTTAGGTACTATCATATTAATGGATGGAGAGTGTGTGGGTCATTTTTGAAATAAAGTCAGACTAACACAGTATTTAGTATTTGGAAAACAAATATTTGGAAAAAGTAGGTGGTGACAGATTCATATGGTCCAAGCTGAAATTCAGTCATGTAGCGCTTAGAAATGTCTGTTTTTCACAAGAAACTACACATGGTTCTTGATTTGCCATGTTATCACATTACTATTATCGATCACTCATTTTTCTTACTTGCAAAATTTGTTGTGGTTTAAGCCAAAAGGAATTTCTCAAGGGTGGATGGGCAGTTCTCAGCACTCCATTAAAATCTAGAGAAGCCTGGCCCGGAGAAAGGGCAGGAACCAGGTCAGAATTTCACTACAGGAGCAGGTGGGCATGTGGGATCTGGGGAGTACATCTTGTCTGTTGTCTGACAATACTGGCTCCTGCAGCGTGTGCCACTAAGTACCATGGAAACTGTAGCCAGCTGCTGCTGTCCTGCTGCTGCCTCTGCTCTTTGGGAAACTGGTTGTTGCTGGGAAGTTTCTCTCTCAGGCCTTCTTTGTGATGTTGGCATCTGAGTCAGAATCCTCCTTGGCGGTCTGGGATTGGCTAAGCTCAGGCCACTGCCTAGGTGCTAGCTGCCAGGACAGTTGAGAAGGTGAGTCTCTGACTTCCATCAGCATTCACCCAGTGGAGGAATCAACAAATGAAAGTATACAGAAAACAGGATACAAGGAGGCTAGTATTGTGGCACAGCCGGTAAATCACTTCTTGGAATGCTGATCTCTTCAGTGGCAGTGCTGGTTAGATTTCTAGCTGCTTTCTTTCTGATCCATCTTCCTGATAATTTGCTTGGAAAGACAGAAGATGGCCCACGTACTTGGGCTCCCACCATCCACATGGGAGCCTTGAATAGAGTTCCAGGTTCCTGATTTCAGCCTGAACCAGTCCTGGTGATTGCAGCTGTTTGGGGAGTGAACCAGTGGGTGGAGGATCTCTGTATGTCTCTCCCAGTTCCTCTGTCCTTTAAAATAGACAAACACATTTTTAACAAAGGAAAAAATAAAAGTAAATGCCAAGAATCCAGACCAAACAAATGGATTCCTAATATTCAGTAGCAGGTGTTTGGTTGTTCTTTTTATTTTTAAGAATTTATTTATTTTTATTTGAAAATCAGAGTTATAGCAGGAGAGGGAGAGTCAGAGGAGATTGATTTTAAATTGAGATTAAGTAACAATGAAACTGATTTAAAATTTATATAGTCTTCTGTTGCATGTGTTTTTAGTTTGATGGAGATAGAAAAGATTGATGAATGGGTTATGTATATAAATGGAGTAGCTCAAATTCTGTTGTAATTATGTGTTTATAGATCTCACTCTGAGGTGGTGAACTATGTCTAATCTGTGTGCCCTAGTACCTAGCATGACACAGGGTAATGGTTGAACTTGTGGAAAGAAAATATTTTGGGAATTTAAAGTTACCATAAATATGTCTATCTTTGGTTTTCCAAAGTTCTGAGTATCTGTGTCACAAGCTTCTGTTCACCTCTGGTGAACTCTAATGATAATTCCTCTTTGGGCCGAGGAGGCTGTCACGTCCATCGGTAAGGGTGTATTTGGGTCTTAGTGCCTTTCAGGAGGAGAAAGGTTGAAAGTGAAAAGTCACTCTGCTGTGGCCCTGGTGGATTGTAAAAGAAAGGGCAGAACCAGGGAAGGAAATATGTATTCTGGTTTCATTTGGCCGGAGTTCTGGGTTAGGTTTGATCGTTAATAGATTGAGGAGTCGTTACCTGTAGAGGGACTTTGGCACTCAGCTCCTCAATTGGAATCTTTAGAGGAGACAACTGTGGAGGTTAGTGTCATGTCAGTGCTGGAGGCCAGCAGCTTTTAAAGAAGTGGCCAGATAGGAGAGCTGGTGGTACCTGGGCATTCTGTAGTGTTCTCAAGCAACTCAACTGTGATGGAAGTGGCGGAGGGCGGGCTTAGAGAGCTGGTGGAATAACAGGTATCATGATCCAGGATGGGGAGACTGTTGACTCAAGGCTGGAGCCATGCACTCTATGGATGAGAGCCAATGTGACAGCCCAGAAGGTGAGATGACACCAGTCCAGGACCCGCTCGCCTCCTTGCGGCAGAGGTGAATGAGCATCCAGGAAGACACCTCTCATCTATAGTCTTCTTGATGCTGTGACTTCAGGATCTCTGCTAGGTCTTGGAGAGAAATTTACCTGAGAACAGCTATTTAAGCCAGTTCTGGTAAGGCGGGTCTGAGCATTTTAAAAAAAAATGTTTATTTTATTTATTTGAAAGGCAGAGTTAAAAAGAATGGAACGAGAGAGAGTTAGAGAGACGTTTGAATCCTGGCTGCTGCACTTCCCATCTAACTTCCTGCTAGTGGCCTACGAAAGCAGTGAAAGATGTCTCAAGACCTTGGGCCCCTGTACCCACGTGGGAAACCTGAAAGAGGCTTCTGGCTTTGGATTGTCCCAGCTCTGACTGTTGCAGCCATTTCAGGATTGAACCAGTGGATGGAAGATCTCTCTATATATATCTGTAACTTTCAAATAAAAATAAGTAAATCTTTAAAAAAGGCTTTTTTCTGCTTACTCTCTAAATGCCTGCAACAGCCAGGCCTAGACTAGGGTGAAGGCAGGAGTCAGGATATCAGAAAGTGTAGGTACGTGGGAGTAGGCAGTAAAGCAACACTAGTGAAATTCTGCCTTAGTGAAGGACTGAACTTGGGGTGGGAGGGAGTGATTTTACATCTTGGGGGCTAAGAAATGGTGTCGGGAAAGCAACAGCAATAGTGAAAGGTTTTGAGATAACTAATGAAGAGTTTGCTAAGTGATTCAGTCTTAAAACATGGTTTTACACATTTTTTTTCTAGCTGAAAATAGAGTTGCCTAGTAGAATTTAGGATTGCTGGAAAGTGCATTTAAGACTTGTGATTAAGTGGGAATGGTTAGTTAGTTTGGTAGCTAGCTGCTTGCCTATGAAAATTGAGTTGTTCTTGAACTTCCAGGTTAGTGTGATTGATGGATATAGAAGGGAAAGGAAGTTGATGTTAGATGCAAGGGAGGGTGTAATCATGGACCACTATTCCTAAGCCAAGGGATGAGATCATAGGAAGGGTAACATAGTGAAATATTGTCATTTAAATGGAGTCAGGGTCCTCATATCATCAAAGAAATGATAGAATAGTTAGAGAATGGATTGACTTGATATGTCTGCTTAGGAATAGTTTGAATAAATCTTAGAACAAAACAAAACGAAAAGAGGCTGACATTGTGACATAGCAAGTTAAACTGCTGCCGGCATTCCATATGGGTGCTGATTTGAGTCCTTTCTGCTCCACTTCTTATTCAGGTGCCTGCTAATGTGCCTGGGAAAGCAGCGGAAAATGGTCAAGTGCTTGGGCTGCTGTACTCATGTGGGAGACCAGATGATGCTCCTGGCTCGTGGCTTTAGTTTAGCTCTGGTCATTTGAAGAGTGAACCAGCAGATGGAGCATCAGTGTCTGTCTCTTTCTCTCCATCTCTCTGTTACTCTGCCTTTCAAATAAATAAATACACCTTAGGAAGAATAGTATATGTATTGATCCAGTGAGGTTTAGGGTAGGAAGTACCTGAGATGGGGAGTGATAAAAGTTTGTTGAAATGATCAGGAAACTGAAAGGTAGGGAACTTGGAATTTCTAAAGGGAGTTTTCAAGAATGTTAGGCATTGCAGTGTGAATACTTTAAGCAAAGGCAGAATTCTCGTATTAACTTCCTAATCCAAGGTAGAGTAGAAAGAGCCACGTGGAGCCT